GATAAGGAGAAAAAATAAGTAGAAGTTTTAGTTTTAACTAAAGAATACACATTGATGAAATTGACATCTCTAAATGAATGTAATATTTATGTACAATAATTAAAACAAAATTACTTTCTATGATGTTGGAATTTCTGTGGTGAGATTTTAAGTGATTGACAATCACAAAAAAATGAAAGGAGACAGCCAAAATAATGATATAAAAAAGACTTTAAAAAAATAACATTCTTAAAAATACCTACTACCTGTTGTACCATATAATCAGTATATCTCTTCAAGATATCTTCATATTTAATTGTGCCATTAGTTTCCATATGCCTAATTTTGATAAATAGATGCAACCTCATGTGTCAGGTCTTTTGTGGAAGTGCAGACAGTTTTTATAGGACAGAGAAATTCTTGGTCATATGGTAATGAATGGGGTAGCTGGCAGTCTTTGTTGGTCATCTGCTACTAATGGTATTACCGTAGCTATAGCCAGGAAACCAATTGGATACAAGCTCCATTGTTCCCAGCTGAGCGAGCTGTAATTTCCAAATATTGGAGTAGGAAAGAAGATTTGCCAGTGAGGTCATCCATGGTGTAGAGAATTGGAGTCTCCATCTATCTCCCATGTGTGTGTGTGTATTGGTTGTGGAATCAATTCCTGTATGTTTTGTGTAGCTAGAAATGTGTGTAAATTTGGTAGGAGGATATAGACCTGCCCAACCATTCACTGCTAAATGACTATTGTCATTGATCCATTGTTCTGTCTTAGGCCAGTGGTAGTGACAGGGCGTTAGAAGTGACCAGGGGCCGTTATAGAAATGACCACAGACCACCATATGTAATAGGTCCTTTTGTATCACTGGGATATTGTGTTTTTCAAGCAGAAGAAGAAACGCATTGTAGTACTTGTGATTGAAGTTGTAAGGAAAAAACACTCACTGAAAGGAATTTGAACAGGAATTTAACCTTCGAATGTTTAGGATTGTTTCTGTAATGGCGACCCATTTGTAACATCGGGAAATATTCATGTAACCATTGTTGATGAAGAACAGCTTCTCCTCTGAACAGTGAAACTATTCTGAAATGGTGCTTGGAACAGCTGTGTTGAGGAGTCCTTTAGCTTTGAAACAGGTTTGTAACTTGAAACAGGATAAAAACAATGTCTGTTTGATCAGTATTTGACTTCAGTGATGGAGATCTCCATTCCTATCTGTGTATTGATTTTGTGTGAATTTGAACAGCGCCTCATTGGATGTTTTTGTCTGCTGCCAAATACAAGGGCTTATGAGATACTGTCAAAATATGTTCTTTGAAATGTTTGAAATGCTGGTTACTGACTGTACTTTACCACACAACAGACAGATTCCATTAGTTTTATTGACTACATAAAATTGTAGATAATTTGATAATTAACTGCAGTCAGTGATTGCTAGGGTGTTCCTTCAGTCTGTCTGTTGTTTGAAGGGAGACATTATAACAAACAGAAAACCTGAAATTTATTGTAGATCATCACAGTTTGTAAAACTTTGTAACCCCTTTGTACTTGTGGATTCTGTCAGAGTTAAAGCAAGATTTGTGATAAAAGAAATAACCAAATGAATTCCCATATGATAAATAATGATCCAGTGTACTACAGAAAGAAATATATTACATCATTTTCAATTTTTTTCTTTTATTTTTTTGAAGGAAGGGTTAAATGATGTTTGAACATCCTGCTGATTCAAGGAATTTAAACTGTCACTTCTAAAGTCATTGAATTACAAAGCCTGGGATTCGAGATTTTTATTTGAGGAAGTTCTTGAATTTTGTTCATGAATAGAGTGTATTAATTCAGTTAAGGCTCGACAATGGTGGTAATCAATGTTTTGATTTTGGTGATATATTTTAATATATGTCTCATGCCTGCATATGAAATCAGATTGTATCCTATTTAATTGTGTTGGGTTTAGGAACATTCCTACCAGCATCAGCACATGCCTGCATCGTGTCATCTCAGATTTTGTGATTTATAGAAAGATAGTATTTCTGGATTGAATTCATCATATTTGTACATTTTGTGTGATATTGCCTACTAGTAATTGAAAAATGATCTAATTTGAAAGATGCATTTAAAATGATTTTGTACTTACTCATAGGTTTCATTGTGATGTCACATATGAGACAATATATATAGAGCCAAGATGACTTCAAGTTGGCATAGCAACACATTGTCTGTAGTTTTTGCCAAAATAGTTCATCACATGATTAGTTTTGTTTTCATTTCATTTGTGTTTTATGAAACTGAAAACAAATTTTTCATTTTGGTAAGCCTTACTCTTAGACATGTCTCATATGAGACAAAAATCCATGATACTAATCTATAAAAGTGGTTGTACACAATCTGATATTTATATATTATAAGGGGTTATTGAGGACATTAAAATAGCAGGATCATTCTATAGTACTATCAAATCCCAGACTACTCCAGAATTTTTTGTAGGATTTTTTCTGATGAGAACATAATTTACAAAATTTTGTTGAGTGCCATTACTTTGAGATATAGTGGGTCCTCACATTTTTGAGCTAGTACCACAGGAAAATCGGTAGTCAAGGATTCAGATATAGAAGTCCTGAAAATCACTGCTACTTCATGTAATTAATCATCAGGATAGTCATATACTTGAAATAAGTGCATTTTCTTTGTGGAATAACTTAACATGCTATATTTACACCCTTTCCCTAGACTTACAAATGGATATATATCTAAACCAAGAGAGGTTGTTTATAGGGCTATAGCCAGACCATGTTAGGATGATTGACTACTGCAGGTTTGATAATAAGAGATCAATAAGTTCCAAACTGGTAATGAATTATGCATACACAAACCCCTTGGAGATACATTTGTGAGGCAGATGGGTTCCTGCTGAAGACACTGGTGCTCAAAGAAATTCATCTATGCTTGCAGACTTTATTGACAAGTCTTGGAAGTCTCAGAATTTTCTTGGAAAAGGGCATACATATGTGATCTTAACAGTATTTTGTTGTTATGTTTGATTTTTGACAATGAAATTGCCTATGTAGTCTTGAGGTATCTAAGGGGTAGGTTAATGTTCAGGTGCCTCCTAGAATGTCAGGCTCATATGAGACTAGTACATAAAAGTGTCCAGGTTTCAAGAGCAGGGCCCATTGAACACCTGTAAAACTCTTACTAGATGTAATATTCACACTTCAGTCTCTAGTTTCACATTGTAAAATCAATTAATGGAAGCCCAAAGGTACACTTGGCATTCTGTAAGTTGATAGTACAGGGTTCAAGATAAACTGTGCTAGTATATTTTATTAAAAAAGTGAAGGATTAAAAGCAGCTTGACTAGACAGCGATGACTTGATAATATTAAAATGAACATTAGCCTAAATAGATTTCAACCTTTTAGACTTGACTTACAGTCCATTTTCCATCATTGGTGTATGAATTAGTCAAAACATCCTTCAAAATCTTATGGAATGTTAGTAATAGAATGATTTTTCATTGGACCATGTATAATATGGAGATTGTTGCCTATTTATCCTGTTATTGTTTCATTGACAGCTAAATTGTCAAACATAACTGAATGCATGAACCTTCTGCTTATAATTCTCTGCAATTATGCTATGTGGTAGCGAAAATTAGGACCATTTGACCTATAGTTTGTGGCATTATCATGTTGCCATGGAAACATTTAGTCTCGCATGTTGACATTTACAGTCAGGTTTCATTTCATGTCTCTGCAGTCTGTCTGTCTCCCATATGTGATGTTTGATAACTCTAGTTATCCCTGAATGAAGGGAAGTGGAGATATTCATACGATATTGGAGATATTCATATGATATTAGCAATTGTCTACGTGAAAGGGAGTATAAATTCCCTTTGTGACCTTAAATATATAGTCATTACCAAATCCAATTTTCTACTTACATCAAGCAATTACCACAAATTGTCCTCTCTCAGGAATGTGATTAAGCTTTCCTTCCACATGAGTTATCACATTACCTATATGGGAAAGTTTGCAGAAAATCTTGCACTGTTTTAGCATTAAAACTTTTTCTACCAGTCTTTTATGTAAAATTCTCATATGTAATGGAGAACATTTTGGGTTGGTGAGTAATCCTTTGGGAATGGGGAGAGATAATGATCAGGGGGTATGCTGCAATTATCTTTGATATTCAAATTGGTATTTTTGTTGCTGGCAATGATATGTCAGTGCTATCAAGTATGGGTCGCTGATGATGATGCAGCTAGCCAGGCAGTGAGGCCAGCCTCAGTACCATCTGTGTAATGATCCCACTTTGGGATGTGATGGGGACCAGATTAGCCTAGAAAGCTGGTTATAACATTCACCAGCACCTAACAAAGGCTTCTGTGTTCTATGTTGCCCAATAACTTTCATCAGTATATACCTCTGCCTGCCCACATCCTAATTGTGTTGACAGTTGTTTTGGGGCTGAAGAGTATTTGAAAACTTGGCATGATCTTCTCTTGTTTTACTTAATAATAACATTTTCTACGCCTCCTGATGTGGGTATGTACATGCACAGTCTGTTTTATACTGTCTGCTGTATGGTTGGAATTCACTCGAAGTTTCCTTATTTTCTGTTGTTGACAACTACAGATTGCCTATCATTGTAACAACAGTGGTCTGCATGTATAGTGCGTTTTGTGTAAATATTCATACTTTTTTCATGGATGTAATGCATGTATAATGCACAGGAGCAGTGTTGGGATATTTCCTCAAAAAGTTCTGCTGTATGAAACAATAATGGTTTCCTGATTGATGGACTACTGTTGTTCCGATTTCAAGACTGGAAATTATATTTGAGACTTTTGTACATATCTGTTTTTGATGGTTTCCATTTTCCACAACCACTTGTGTATCTGTGCTGTGTCTAAAAACAAACAAATATCAAAGAGTTTCAATTTTCCTGTTGAAGAGATACTGCAAATCAAATTTAGTAGATTGAAGACTCTATGTTTTTCATTGATTTATATTTTACAGCACATGGTGCAGAATCAGATGACGCCGACGTACCAGTATGCGGCGCCAACGCCTACAGCCCTGGAGGAATACACTGGTCATCCCCAGGTCGTAGTTAGTCAACCCACCACAGTAGTGTCCGCTGAAGCAGCCCCACCCCTACAGTTCAAACCCCAGGACACGCCCTACCCTGTCACCACGGTAACTCCCAACGGGGGCGTGGAGCAGCAGACGGTAAGGCCGCCAAGACAGATCAATGTACGTTAACTTCTCTCTCTAAGCATGGCACATTTGTCAGTGCCTGGTTTGGGTTTTATTTTAGCATTGTAGAAGCAGAGTTTTTAATCCCCGGTAATTCTACAATCTAGTGAAAATACACTCATGTCATTTCATATTAATTTGATAGTGAATTTATTTTTTGATCTCATTTGGTCATTTTGGGGAAAAAAAATCATTTTTTAGTCTTGCTGCTGTCATTTGTCTCTTAACCTTAAGCTGACGATACACAAAAATTTTTGTGGGAAAAAAATTGTTTTGGATCATTTCTGTAATCTGTAGTTTTCAAAAGAACATGACAAACAAACATGAAATATCACTTAGTGGTGATACAGATTCCAAGTAGAAGCGTTTCCAAAAGTTTTTTTTTTTTTATTTGTTTGGTGTATGAAAATACAAATGGCTCTGAATTGTTGAATTGCTGAAGTCCTGTGTATGCTTCTGTAACTCAGATAGATCTTAAGACTAAAGGATGAAACTTGGGGTGTTTTACTTAAATGTGATAGAAATGATCAATAAAAACTTGTCTCACATCCTCTACCCATTTTTGATATATGAAATGACAAAGTTTGTATTTTGATTGGACAACTCTGTGGTTCACATACTCACAACAGGATGGACTGGAGATTGGCGCATGACGTCCATGGTTTCATGGTGATGGAGCAATGTTGTGTGCTGAAGGACTTTCGGAAGTTGTCAATGAGTTTTTTGCAATATAGAAAATGCCATATTCAACCTATCTAACAGATTTGAAAGATAATTTTAGAAATTTCAAACATTTACATCATTGGTTTGTCGAGTTAATACATTTAAAAAAAAATTCTATTCTCTTTTTTTTTCCCCCGATTTAAATTTATCATAGCTAAATTTATAGTCAAATTTTGTAATTTTCTTAATATTTGGACCATGGTGTGAATATGGCAATCCCACATGTTAACATATAATTATATAATACTAATTTTCCCTTAGGAAAGCATGATGAAGTATGTTTAACATCAATAAGTACAATGATATATATTTGATCATGCTTTGTTTTGTGGATGATCTTATACAGAGTCAGTTAATTGCATGGTTGAAGGTGGATTGCTTGTTTATCTGGAAAATATACGTAACAAATGGCATGTTTTTTTAGATATAGTGAAGAGATAAATCATTACATCACTGTAAAGATTTTAGTATCTCATTGTAAAAAATTCTGAAGTTGTTGCCAATTTATTATATACCTTTATCTTGGATAAAAACACATACATGTTGAATAACAGTGATGTCTACAATACAGATGATGCATGTTGGCAGGTTGGCACTGTTTTATTGGAATGCAAACTGGATGAATATTTTCTTAAGTGACAAAGTTTCATGTGATGTAGCCCGTTGAGATGTTCTGCTGATTGTTGTAATCCACCTTTACAGTCTTGTAACAGTTATACAATCGATAGCTTTTCATTTTATCCTCGATCTTATATTACTCTGCAAAAAATCCAATGTCTGTCATGTTTAGAGTTTGCCTCTTAACTTGGATTTGATAATATGATAAAATTGTAAATTAGATAAAAATTGACATTGATAGGAATTCTCCTAGCACATTCTCGTGTACATTATCAGGAAATTGGTGCTGTTGTATGAGAGATTTTTCACACGTGATATGTCACATTGTTAAAAAATGGAGATGCATTCGTCATACTGTTCTTTGTTCAGTATAAACATTTTTGTAAGATTTTATTTTATGATCTAATTGTTCTGGATAAAAACAAGAAGTACCAAAGAGGGCATTTAATTGTACTTTTTCATCTCCTTTGATATGTATATATGTTCTATTGTTTTTGTAAATGTATTTGATTACAATATGAGTGATGTTTTTGTCTGACAGTGTCTTGAAGGGTCAATGCACTACTTATCAGTCAAGGTTTAACGTCTGAAACTGACTTGATTTTTCCTAACTGTCTGAAATATAGTATGACCAGAGATAATAAGGTATATCCTATATGATCATTTGCAATGAGTATTTCAATTCAAATTTATCTTTTTGGTAATGCCTCAACCAAGTTCTAAGAAAATGTTTTTTCCTTGTGTAAACTTATTTCGACCATATTAAAGCACTTTTTTATGCAAAACCTGTGTTATAATATGGTCTGTATTTTACAATGATAAATGCAATTTGGCAGCCTACTAAGATGTGCTTTTAATCACTATACCAAGCTGATTCAATCTTTTACAGTCAAAACATGTGCCCAATGGACTTACACTCCATTGTGGTCTGCAAACAGGCAGAGAAAGTCTGGAAAATGTGAATTAAATCAAACGCATGCTTGACTGTGCATCACGACTTCTAACAAAGGATCTGATCCTCTTTTATGTTGTAGGGACAAACATATCTCTCCAGGCCTATAGCTTATGAGCAAATGGTATTAAAGATCGATGAGGTTTCAAACACTATTTTGCATGCATTTTTTTTGCTAATTGACCATCCTACTTGCATAATTTTTTTCCTGGGCTATTGTCTGTTTCAGGTTTTAGTTCAACCAACAAATCAATCAAGTTTTATTTAATCAAATGTTTTTTTTATCATTATTTTTTCACAAAGAAAGAAGATTAAATATTTTGATAATACATTGTTTTGGTTGAAATGATCCTACCTGACATCAGACACTACTCAGCAAAAAGTGTAATATTCCAGTTGTTGTATTAATTTTTGTTGGAACATTTCTCAGTACTCTGGTAGATGCCTGAGTAATTACATTGTGATACCCACTCTGAATCAGAAATATACATAAAAAAGTCTCCACTCCTCAGGAGATATTCATCAGTCTGTCTGACTGTTCACTTCTCTTAACCTAATTTTGGGAGGACATCTTATGAAGTCATTCCTCAAAAGAAACAGAAGATTTTTTAGTTATTTGTGTTAATTCACGTCCATATGTTTATAAAAAATCATCTGATTTACTTTGAACCTGAAAAGGTGGTTAGATATGTCGATGAGTCTGGCCTACTGATCAGAGTACACCATTTGGGTGCTAGTCACAATGTAATTATGGAGAACTGTGAGGGTGTTGATCATACTCTAACCAGATCTGCTAATAAGGGTCTTTTGTGTTGGGATCTTTGTGGTGTTGGCACTGTTGCTATATTGTTCACATGTCATTTCTGTTAGGTAATTGCATATTTATAATAATTATATTTTCTGTATATAACCTGGTCTGGGTATCAATATAGCTCTATATACTAATCAGAACTTTGTTGTACAGACCTTTCACACCATTATTATACACCTATAGTAGTTGTGTCTGCCTTTCCCAAACAAATAAAATGTCTTCCTTTTAGTTACATAAAAGAGAGGATGTAAACATCTCAGAATTTCAAAGATACTCTGTTTATTTGCAATTCTTTTGCAATTATCTTTTTTTTTTGAAATTCTTTGATTGGGATAATGTAGAAGGAGTCAATCTGTATAAAAAGTTAAGACTCCTGTAATTTATTTATTTGAATATTCCAAACATAAGTTTAAATGAATTCAAATTTCTTTTATGATTGTTGGAAAAAAAAGAGGACTAATATTTGTTAAAAGCAACATATTGTTTTGTGCATTTTGTTAGCATTAAACATAACTTCACTGTATATAAATTATCATTTTATAAAATATTGAAGATATTGATGAACAGTTTTCCTTTTGGTATTTAAGTTGCCTTCTGGTGTATTATTAACTTGAAGGTAGACCAACTACTTTGAGATTTTACTGTTGACAAATTTAGATTACTACCTACGTAAATATATTCATTGATGTGCATTAAAAAGACAATTGGCTGTTTTCCGACAACAATACCAACTGATTATTTTGTGATTTCTATGCATGTAACGATTATATGTTTGTGATCCAATCATTAAAAAGCCATGTCTTATTTCCGCTTAGATTGGAATCAGAACAGATGTAATCATTTGTTTTACTGTGTTAAGAGGCCAGAGTTTGTTTTTAGTTGAGCAACTGAACAGCTATTTGTCTGAAAGAAAGTATTGATTTTTGAATAGCAGTGGCCTTCCTTAGACACATTTGCAATCTCATTTACCATTAAATCAAGTCCATAATGACAGTAGGCATTATTGATCTCCGTAATTGTGGCCCTCTTTGTCTCAGTGTGCAGCCCTATCTTCTGGATTTAGCCAACCGCTGGGGTAATCCAACAGCTCATGTTTTAGACAATGGTCCTTAGTCAGGGGATGAAGAGAAAGGGGAGGATGGATGTAACTAATGACCTGTAAATGACATGTCAGATGAGGGTGGATAAATGTAAACTAGGACAAATCAGTTCTTAGCAGAAGTAGATCAATTCATATTATCAGACATAAGACAGTTGATATTACCAGAAATACGACAATTTATAATATCAGAGATTAAAGAATTGATATTACCAGAAATACGATAATTTATAATATCAGAGTTTAGAGAATTGATATTACCAGAAATACGATAATTTATAATATCAGTTTAGAGAATTGATATTACCAGAAATACGATAATTTATAATATCAGAGATTAGAGAATTGATATTACCAGAAATACGATAATTTATAATATCAGAGATTAGAGAATTGATATTACCAGAAATACGATAATTTATAATATCAGAGTTTAGAGAATTGATATTACCAGAAATACGACGACTCTCTTATTTCTGATAATAAGTCAGTCCTCATCTGAAGTTAAACTTATCATAATCAAAAGAGGGACAGTTGATATTATCAGAATTGTATCATTATATTATTCCAAAAAGAATCAGATTGATTAAAATCATTTTATCTGAAAATAGATAATTTTATCAGAAACAAACCAGTTAATATTTCATATGGTCAGATAATCCTGAATTCATAGAAAAGCATTTCATATAATCAAAAGTTCTTCATACTAGAATTAAACTGGTTCATAAGTATAATGTATCTCAAGAAAAAAACATGGTAAAGTTTGTACATAGAGACCACATTTAATGGAGACCACATTTAAACAGGGATGTGCACAGAGACCACATTTAAACAGGCATGTGCACAGAGACCACATTTAAACAGGCATGTGCACAGAGACTGCAGTATTACATCTAGGGTTGTACACAGAGATCACACAGTATTACAAACAGGGTTGTGTACAGAAACCACAGTATTACAAACAGGGTTTTACACAGAGACCACACAGTATTACAAACAGTTGTACACAGAGATCATACAGCATTATAGACAGGGTTGTACACAGTGACCACACAGTATTACCAACAAGGTTTTCCACAGTGACTGAAATAGTGGGATGACATCTAGAATGTTGAAATATATCGAAAAGTAAATTCAGTGGAAGAGGGTGGCTAGTCTGTTAATGTACCAGTAAACAATATCACCTGTGAATGGACCTCTGTAAAGCAGTTTCTTGGCCAACTTCTTAATTGTACCCAAAAAATATAGAAAAAAAGGAGAAAAATACATTTGGGTAAACTCTTGAGATATCTAGCATGTTATAAAGATCTACAGACACCTGTTCTTCAGCTTGTTGTCTTATGGTACATAGATAAAAAGACTTCAAGTTAAATTAAACAAACTTGTTGTTAATTGGAGCAGATGCTTGATGGTATAGACATCTACAATAGCTTAACCTCAAATCAAACATTATAATCAAAATGGTGATGAATGCTGTTTTCTCAGTATTGCAGAGTTTTAACATGGTCCTTAAAAACTCCCAAAATATAAATATTACGAATGAATCAAAAATGGGTAAAAACGGAAACTGCCACTTGTATTCTTGAGTTGAAAGCACATCCAACCATCTCATATAGTTTTCAGATTGAAAAAAAAGCTATGTTTTGTTTTATTGAATTACAGTAATAACATGCACCTAGAATACCGTATTGCAGGTTTCTCTTTGATTTTACAGCAAACAGACCTAGAGGAGGGATCACAAGTACAGGTGTCGCCATCTGTGGCAGCAGCTGCAGCACAGAACCTTGCAATTGGGCCAAAACGTCTTCATGTGTCAAATATTCCATTTAGATTCAGAGAAGCAGACTTAAAAAACTTACTAGGGGTAAGTGTCTTTACCACGAAACACTTTCAGGGGAAAGTGTTGTTATTGCCAGAACAAATTGTTGAAAAGTAAATATTTCAAAAACACTTTAAAAATTTCAGTCAAGTTTTATTTTCCTACCTTAAGAAGGCAGAGGTAATCTTGATCATGCACTTGCAACTAAAATTCAAAAGTCGGCCAAGTCAGACATGGTGTTTGTGGCAAAAGAACATACCAAGAGAAGAGCAGCAGGTCATTCATTATGTAGTTACTTGTAGGTGAAAAGGTAGAACAATGTGGTAATTTGTTGTCTTAGGGGATAGTGTGACTCTGGAAAGGATCAATTATGTATGATGAAGTAAGCAGGATGTGTGTGCAAGTGAATTTCAACTGAGTGAATAGAAGGTACATGTTAGTAACAAGAGTAGGATACCTTGTTGTGTAATGTGATGTTTGATTGAGCGTTGATGACAGTGTTTAAAAATAAAGAAGACAATTGATTGAAGCTCACTATGACCTGATTGGTGGCTTTCTCTTCACTGCGAACAAAAGATTATTTGCAGTATCATTAAGTGATGTCAGCTCTTGTTGCATTCCTTGCAAACAAATTACTTTCTAATTTAGGACAAGGAATTGATTAAAAGTTTCAGTTGTCAGAAGAAAAAAGTGTTTCAATTGTTTTCTGATTTGTGAAACTTTGATTAGGATGGCATTGTGAAAAAAAGATTGTTTAGTACTGGTTGGAATCAGAATACTCCCTCTGTAGCCAAAAACACAATATTGTCATTTATTGGTTCAGTTTACACTTTTAACTTATTAGGAAAGAATAAAGAAGTACTGTATTCAAAATAACAAATCAACAGTTATTTTATCACTGAGAAATTGTTGCATGAAATAGGTGTAAGGTGACAGAATTTTCAATAATCTATTTTAGATGAAAACCATTGGGTGAAATTAACTTGATGCTATTATATGGCACTCCAGTGAATAGATTCTCATCTCAAAACTGGAATTCCAGCAAGAATGTTCCTTCTGAGATCTGCTTCAAACATGCCCAATATTTGACAAGAGGATGAGGAAGGAAACAACACTAATGTTTTTATTGTGTTGGAGGCTGCTTTGTTATTGGTTTCGGGATGTGACTCTGGGGGAAACTCGGCTGCCTATTCTAGTCAGTGCTTTGGTGATGATACAAAACAGCTACAAATTGTGACGCAGTCTTGGCTGGAGGTTCTTTATGACCATCATGGTGTCTCCCGGTCCTGAATTTTGTCAGATAATTTGGCAAGCATGTTTGCCAAAGCCTTTCATGTTTTCAAAATTAAGTTGATAGCCATGTATTCTATGAAGGCATTTTGCAGATATGTTATCATGCTGGGTATTTCGGTAATATTTCTGGTTACATAATTCCATTCTCTTTTTGCAATTTTATTTTTGGTTTTACCAACCGTTAAAAATTCAACATTTTTTTTATGGCTACGATGAAATTGTTGTCTTGATGGGGAGTTTTGAAGCTATCATATGTAATCTATGATGGATAAGTTTCAATATTGAAAATAATCCTTATGTTGTTTTTTTGTGATGGAATAGACCCAAGTTAACACTAGGGGATCTAACTGAGAAATGATCTGAGAGCTGTTAACAGATGTTTTATTAAGGAGCACAATATTGGAGATGTGTGAAGAAGCAGTGTGTGGATAAATTCAATTTTTTAGTTAGATGTAATGTATTTGTACCGAGATAGACACATGTACTGCTAGTCTGAGCCTGTTTATTACCTCCTGAAGTTCTTCTTCTTGATCATTGCTATTGGCTAAAAAAAAGTGGATGATTATGGGAGTTCAGTGGGCTTTTTGGGCACGAATATTTGATTTGCTGAGAAACACCTACACAGATCAATGTTGCTATTGAGCCATACCCAAATGAAGATGTTAGTTTACTTTTCTATTCTTTATCAACCCAAGATACCAGTGCATTAAGGCTAATTTCATGGTCGTGGTTTTCCAGTCCATGTATAAGCAGTGCCCTGTTCAGTGTAAAACTTAATTCCTGGCCACAGCAGATACAAATTTGGACTGCAAATGTATTGTGCCTGGAAATAAAATTTTTTCACAGTGCTAATGTCTTCTGCGTATAGAATGTTAAAGCATGTGGGTAAATTCTGATTTTCACAAGATAAATACCTTAAGTCTTACTTAGTACCATGAAAATGTATTGAACAAAACAGATACTAATTTAAAACTGTCATAATGTATCTACATATCAGTAAAGATATTGCAACCTGTGAAGTCTTGGTCAAATAAGGGTTAGTTGCTGAGAGTAAACCACCAACATAGCTCTGTCTCTTTTCTGATGAAAACAAATTTTTCTTGAGATAAACTCAACCTGACCTTTCTCATTTAGGATTCAAGCTTCAGTGACAATGAGATAAAATGCTACCAACAAAACTGACTTATCTATCCCAAGCCGGTCAGGGTGCAAAACATATCAATTTCATTCAGTGGTAATACCATGCTTAGATTTGAGATTATGATGAATATTAATGAAACGTACATGTGTGTATATGTTTATAAGTGAGTGTGTGATCTTTTGTTTCTTGTTTGAAGAACTTCTTCAGATCATATGGTATGGAAGCTTTGAAAGGATTAAGAATGCTGTGTATTTGAAAGTGTGATCTTGTTTCTTGGTTTTAAGCTGTTACAACCATGAATGCACTTTCCAAAGAGAATGGGCTTTTTGGCTTGATTTTGCATTACAACTCCACATTTTAAACCTACAATGTGAAAGCACTGTCTTTATTCACATTACAGTGATATCAGTAAATTAACACATCTTTACAGCTAACATTTAAATACAATTGTGCATTAGTTTGCTAATGCAGAATTGCCAATCTCTGAAACTTGAAGGGAAAAAAACTTAATAGAACATAGGGGGATATCTGGTGTTGAGAATTGTAAAGAGTGCTAAGTGATTGATGAGAATGACTAGTGATAGTGTGAGAAATAACACTGTATCTCAATTTTGTTCTGTAACATTTTAAATTAGAAGAAATTTTGACAAATCAGGTGTCTAAGAGTTTAAATTTTTTAAAATCTTTTTGCAATTGAATGTATCTTGCATTCTATTCAGGATAATGAAAAGAGAAATGTTGTGAAAATTTCAAATTAAAATGAACAGAAATCTAATTTTGATTGTTCTTTTTCAGCAATTTGGTAAAATCATAGATGTTGAAATTATCTTCAACGAAAGGGGATCAAAGGTAAGTAAAATTTTATATACAATATCTGAATCATCATATTATTGACAAAGATCGATATCATTATTTTCTATATATTATTTCATTAATTATAATTAAAGATAAAAGAATAATGTTTGTGATTGATAATTGTTTTTCATTTTATTTAAAAAAAAATAAATATAAATCTTTCAAGATCATACTGTTTTCCTTTAATTGATATAATGAGGCTTCATATGATGATTCACATGATGTATTTTTATTATTGATTAATTGAAATGCATCCTTCATAGGCAAAATGTTGTTGTGGAAAAGTATTACTTCATGGTAATAAACACTTCTGACTGTAGAGTTTAATCTTTCTCAGAAAAGAATGAATACATTTCTGTTATTATTTCCAATCATTAGTAATCATACTGAAAATTACTAAAATTAGATTAGTTTGTTTTACAAATTTGTTTCCAAGGATGCATTTCATTAACTCTTAAATTTTGAAATGTTTTTGCTATCAATTTCCATTTCTTATATGTATTATATGAATAACAATTAAGCTAGGGAAAGATGAGTATTTTGATAATGTAATGAAAAATTTTTTTAATTAAAGTTAAAAGAAAATGTCTTTTCAATTACAGTTTCAGTTCTCATTGATTAGAAACTAAATTTGATCTAGGTTTAAAAGAAATGGAAATTGTTTGCATTATATTGTCATATTGAGCTGTTGAGCTAATTTGGACTTCAAGGAATGTGTCAAATAAATTGAAAAGTGAAAATCATTTAAGAACAAATTTTAAGCATTAAATCGATTACATATTATGTTAAAAAATTATTTATTGTCCAGGATTTAATTTTTTTTCCAATTTGAAATCAACACCTTTTCTGTTTTCCTTGAAGTCAAGAATTAAAAATTGGTTAAGATTTATACTCAAGATTTGAAAGTTTTTCCATTTTCATGCCAAGTTTATATGAAAGATGAAACACACATGAAACTTCAGTTGGTAGATATAAGATGGACTGATATGAGCAGTTGCTCATATCTTAATGGGAAAATTCTAAAAAGGGCAGCTGTGCAGATTTATAAACCCATATTCACCATAGCTTTGGAATTTCATATTTCCCAGCCAGCCATCTAGACTAGAAAAAAAACTTATTCCCATTAAATTGGCATATGTTCAAGACATTTCAGAGTTGAGATAAGAGCATGTGAGCTATCTCTGCGAGCTATCCCATAAGCAAACAGGGTAATTTCAAAATATTATCAACAGAAATCAGTTATTGATGCAGAAACTGTTTTTGTGAAATATTAACGGTAAAACTGTTTAAAAATTGAAGAATTATCTATAGATGATCTTCACTAGGAGTGCTTTCCAAAATTGTTGAAAAAAAGGTGGAATTTAGTCAGATGCTGGAGATATCTTCCTGTAGTTTGGAACATATCAGCAGTTTGAAAGGCTCTCTGTGACACCAGCCATCTCCAAGGTTTCCTGTGTGTTTCCTCTTCACATGTCATTATTATTACAAATGAGTTCTATCCCAAGATGTTAAGTTGTGAGGCTGGCAGGGAGTCAAATCTTGTAGCTTCCTTATCTTGTACTCCACTAATACAAGTCTGAGGGGGAAAGGAAATAGGGGCAACATAGGGAGGTGGAAAGATAAAGATATATACACAGGGATGACAGGGGGAGAGATAAACAGCAACACTTGGTAGGAAGGCATGTGTACAACGTACGTGTAAATTTCATGGTAGGATGAGCAGAACACTAGAGGGAGGTTAGGTTTATTTGTACAGGAAACCTTATAAACAGTAGGGGGTTTGTCGGAAGGAAAGTTGGATGCATTTATTAATTTTGGAATGAAGGATGGTATGCATATATCTTCAGATGTTTTCTTGGGTGAATACGTAAGACAGGTGGAAGAGCTTGCAATATTTTATTTCTTGTTAGATAAAGAAACACATCAAAATGGAAAAAAAAAATGCTGAACTTACCACAGCAAGAAATGTGTTTCAATGAATGAGGGCAGATTCCCGAGGGACAGGAACTGAATGACATAATAAAGGCTTAGTGGAGGCTCAAGGACATGAATCAATTTGTCATTTCTTCCCCAGACACTTCCTACAAAAATATACCATTCTTTCTTAAAATAAGACTCTTGTGGGGAATACATTTTTCGCAATGATAAATTTTTTAAAATTCACTGAAGGTATATCGAAAGAAGAGAAAGTTGTATAAGTTCAGATGAAATAATTGAGAACTATTTCTCATTGAAACCTACCTAAAAATATATTTTATCAAGTATTATAGGGTTTGAGATTAGAAGGTAATACAGCCAATAGATCATTTGGAGAAGGTAGCAGCTGTCTGTTTTTACATGAATATTACACGTAGCTGGCTCTTTCTTGTAGCCTGAATAGATAGAGATTAGGTGAAAGATTGATTTGGTTATAACTTGGAGAGGCATTTCAATCAATATGCCATAGAAATATTTCAGAATTTATGTGAAATGCAAGCCCTGATGTAATTCTATGACACTTCTTTGAGGATGATAGATATAGTTTACAGTGCTAAGTCATAAACCAAAATCTGATGGTAAAAGATGTTTTCCCTGCCATCGATTATTTATGCTGGAGATTGGATTATGTCTTTATTGAGAACTATCTCTAGTTAGATGTCAGAGAGAATTACTGCAAATACTAAACAGACTAGAGTTACCATTGTAATTTGAAATGGGCATATAGTGATAGTATGAAAAACCTATTAGGATTTTCTGAGTTGTTTATAGCCAAGAGACACGGTATTGAATGGGCATGAAAAATGTATGAATAAGAGACCCCTAAATGGTATAGTACTACTTAGAACAGACAGGATACTGTTAGGTGGGAAGGGGAAGGTTGATAGTATATGATTATTTGGGATAGAATATGTTAGTGGGTAAAGGCTTGTACATAAATATGTTCTGTTATTTTCAGTGTACCCCTGCCAGCCTCATCTATTTAAATCCATGTTTATCTACAAAGTCCTGTTACTCACATTTCAAATTGACTGTCATCGTCTTACTGTGCACTTAGAACTAATTAGCTGTTGCTCTTGCCCATACTCTTGTAGTATGTACTTCATAGTGTCTTTACTACTATGGGAAGACTACTCTGTATGTAATTATGCCCCCTTTGTTTTGTGGTGTCCGATGTGTCAGATCACATGTCCGTTATATGTCGGTACCATTTGTCCGCTTAGCGGCATGAAAGCATGCTGCTTCCTAGAAATAAGCATGTCCTCCCTGATCTCGTAGCCAGGAAAATGTAAAGGAATATCTTAGACATTTTAGAATCATGGTCATTATATTCAGCTCATATTAGGTGTAACACAATGTAGGGGAAGTGCAAATGATTTAGATCAAATTCATAGAGAAAAAAAGACAATTACAGGAAAAGTGCATGAAATGTATAAATATCCTGATTGTTATTATAAATGATGATATTATTATTACATTTTGATGCCATAATCATTATGTTGTTTTGCACGATTTTAAAGCATGTTCCTTATTTTCCTCATGCATGCAGGGATTTGGTTTTGTAACTTTCGAAACTAGCGCGGAGGCTGACCGAGCACGAGAGAAAATGAACGGCACTGTGGTTGAGGGAAGAAAGATTGAGGTGCATGGTCAATGATTTACCATTTTGTGGTAGCACAACACTAAACGCTAAGTCTTTTACCGTTTTCTTGTTGTCAGTATTAAGAAATGCCTGTACCATTTGTCTGACTATCATAACTATGAATAATACAATGTGTTTTGTTCCAAAATTGTCTTGAGCTACTGCAGGGAATTTGAAAAATGATTTCCAATCCACATTCCGTCATGATTAATTTCTCTATTTTATTTCTTCCTTAATTTCATTTATTTATAATATATATATTTTTGGTTTATTTTGTCTCTTTTCTGATTGTTTATTCTCTTGATATCATATCATCACCCTAGCGATGTATATTTGGTGCATTGTGGGTAATTTTGAAATGTGACAAATAGCTACTACATTTGATGTCGTGTCATGAAATTCACCTTCAGCATATCTCAGTGCTCGTAGTTCCGTACCTTGTGGCCAAGTTTTCATGTCTTTTGTGTTCAACACTGCAAGCAAAAACTGTTATCGTGCTGTATGGCCAAAAACAAAACAACATAATCTTCAAAGCTTCAAGTTTATAATACATCAACTTGTCCTTTTTTTCTTCCTTTTTGGGGTGATTTTTTTATGCCCTTTTTATGTTCGTGTCTGGCATTTCTTGATGCTGTGTTGTTTATATATATGTAGACATTTGTTGAAATGATACCATTGGACAAACTAGGGTTCAACACCACAAATTTTCGTTCTTGATAGTGAAGCATACTTACGGCTTAAGACTTTCCCACAAAGTGATTGAAATAGGCGCTACTTGCCAGCTCTGGTTTTGTACCAGTAGGTAGGTGCCTTCAGCTATCTATCGTAGAACCATGTTTTCAAAACATGTCTGGAAGCAAAACACCGAAAAATATGAGATATTTGTTTTTAAGATACTACCATCTTCCTTTCTTCTGCATATCATATGATTTCTGAACTGAATAAATGGAGATTTCCCATAAGAAATGCCTGCTGGGATGGGGGCTATCATAAAAATGCTTAAGATAAATGATAGGAGACATCAGTCAAATTTTTGAATATAATTGTCAGTTTCACAATGATAAGTGTTCTATAATAAATCACATCTGATGAAAATATTATAATGTGACAGCGTACAAGCATTCATTGTCATAAACCATTTTTCTTCATTAGAGGAAATGATTAATTCAGTCAAAGAGGCTTACATGTTCTATAATGAGGTATTTGTACTCTTTACAAATGTCACCAAATATTAAAGCTTTTACAAAAATGAAATTGAAAACAGCTCTATCAGCTTTATAATTGTGAGCAGTCTCCCACATCGACTTCAGAAAACTGGCAGTATCTTTATTGACTGACCCCTAAAGGTCAGAATGAATGTTACAGACAGACCCCTGAAAGTAAACAGGACTGAAGGTTGGCTAGACTGGTTTAACCGGCTCCAGAAGGTTAACTAGACTGTTAGTGTTTATCTCCTAAAGGCTTGCTAGCCTTTAAAACTGGCCCATGAAAAGTGGATTGCAGACCAATCAAAAACTCAATATAGCCCCTGAAATTTAAAAAGGCTTCATTTAAACTGGCCCTTGTTGAAGATGGCAACTTGTAATTGCTATGTCATGAGAAATGAGAAGAAGTTCTTACAGTAGATGTAATTTTGTAAAATGCTTATCCCTTTGTTAAGATTCAAGGCAGCTATTAGAATCATTAATAACATAATTATTAGATTGAACTTAAAGTCACATATACCTTCAGGTGTAAACTAATCATAAAATTGGAAACTTTAAAATATATATGGAACAGTAATGTAGCACCAAAACCTCACGTTTATTTTTGATCCTTGGGTATAAATATTAGTATATGTTAAATTATATTCCCATCTGGTAATGTGAAGTAGGGAAGGTGGTTAAAATCTTGCCAAAAATTTGAAATTGGTAATTCATTGCGCAAATTTAAAGTAATTAAGATTATGGCACTGCACATTCAGTGTACTGGCATTAATATTCTGGCTGGTGTTCATCCAATCTTAGTGTCCTTTTGGTTAGAGAAATGTTGCAGAATTTGTCCAAATGATAATTTTTATATGAAAGTGAAAAAGCAAGTTTTAGATAAAAATAACATATTTCTCATTCTTTTCTACCACATAAATCATCAGGTTTTAAACTTGTTTTATACAATTTTCAATATTAAATGTTTTCATTAATTTTTGGTCCTGTATCATTTCATATTTTATGTGCACTTTTACTTTTTTGGCAAACAGTTATTTCAGAAATAAATTTTTCAGTTTAGTTATATAAACATGCATATACATTTGCTAACTTGAAATCTTTAGGAAAAGGGGGGAAAATTAAATTGAACTTGCTTCTTTGCTCTGAAAATCAATGATGCATATTTTTGCTAATATTTGATTAAGTTTTGTGGACTTACTAATACTGTTGAAAAAATAATCTAGCAAGTTTTTTTGTTTCTCAATTTATTTTGAACTACTTTTAAGCATTTGACTGACTTCTATGATTTAAGTTTTGACTTTATAAATGTATAAATGGAAAGTGATAAGTGAAGCTAACATATTCAAATGCTTTTGAGCAATTTGTAAAGCAAGCAAAACGTCCACAAAGCTTGATTAGATAATTACAAGGCTACTATGAGAGATTTTCAGTTGATTATGAAATTTTTCATTCAAAACTTTTAATTTTGACTCAACAAAATTCCAAAATAATCATGGTTTTAAACAGAGGATTGCATGGTGATTTCCTTAACAAAGAAATATTGATTAAAATGGATGGAAAACTTAAGAAGATTAATGAAAACAGATTTTGGGAGACAGTAAAATGAAAATACTCTTCTCACTCTAGCCTTGATAGTGATAAATGTATGTCAAGAGTCGGTAATGGCAGCTTCACATAGTCCAGTATTAAACCAAGAGTTAAAAGATTGATTAGAGAAATACCTTATTAACAGTATCACGTAAAAGATTTTCTATCTAGAGAAAAATTAAATTTGAATTGAAATTTCCAACATTAATCAACAAACTTTCTCAATATGTATATTTGGTTATGATTACATGAAGCTGTCTTTACTGAACAAAATCTATGTTCACAAGGAAGTGTCTTAGTCTTGTTCTCATGATCTGGTTCTTCTCTATATTTGTTAGATGACAATGAAAATAGAAGAAAATTATATTACAAAAGTAAAGCCCATATTATAGTAGAAAGCTAAAAATAAAGATCGAGAAATAATGTCAAAGAATATCTAAATGTTAAAGGTTAATTCTTTGAAAGAGAACAAGATATTATAGTCCATCTTCTCAACTGATTACAAGTTTTTAAGCATTTGGAAATTTAGTTATTTTGGTCATTAGAGGAAACTATACAGCTAACTACAGGCTTTGTACAAATTTTTCAGGGCTGTTATGTTGTGGTCTCGAAAGAAAAAGTCATTTATATCTGATATGAAGCGAATTTGTTTTCAACCTGATCAATTTCTGTAAAACTGAAATTGTGCTGTATTTTTTTCCTTCAAAAACTTAATTAAAATGAAACAAAAATAGAATGAGTTGCCTTCAGTTGAGAAGATTCCTTGTGTTGTGAATGATTGGTATGTTGACACCACACTCCTGCTTCTTTCTAAAGTGTTGCAATTTTACAAATTAGGTTAACAATGCCACTGCCCGAGTTATGACCAAAAAAACTGTCGCTGCTCCCACAATCCCAAATGGTAAGATCCGTATGTTGATTGTGTATGTCTTACTTAATACGAATTAATGGAGAAAATTAAACCTAGACCCTGCTAGATGATAAATCTGGTGTGAAGTGAGCGGTCATTTGTTTGTTTTAAGTTTCCTACAACACCAAATGATCATAGTCATTGGTGTTCTTATTGCTATGATGATCTTATCATAGTCAAATATGAGCTTATTGCTATGATGATCTGATCATAGTCAATGGTGTGCTTATTGCTATGGTGATATGATCATAGTCAATTATAAGTTTATTGCTATGGTAAACTGATCATAGTCATTGGTGTGCTTATTGCTATGGGGATTCAAATGAGAAGGGACATGTTTATGCAGCTTTTGACATATCAGATAACACAGCATATACATATTGGGGAAATGTTTACCTATGAAGTTATACAGAGCTTATGAAGCCTCCATATTTATTGGCAACACTTAAATTTACCTATACTTCTGTATATAGCACCTCTAACAAACATCCTTGGACCAATGTCCTGTCCCGGTGTGCATGCAATGAGTATTATAGACAGAGGAGTGTATAGCCATTATGCTATTGGGATTTTCATCTATCAGGGTCTTGTTGACTTGTTCTAATGTTAATCTGGAACCATGCAGCATGCAAGAAAGGATGCAACTGTTGATGAGGTATGACAATGAGGAAAATAAAGATTAATAACTTGTATCGGGTATCATGTTGATTTGATTCCACCTGCCTGGTAATGTCATAGTCTTGTGTGTGTTCTTGGATGGATCCAATCTGGCTTTTTTCAGTCTATTTCTTGTTTCTAATAATAATTTTCATTAGGCAGTAGAAAAATAATTAACATTTTGGAATTTTGAAAAAACCTATGTTTGCTAGATACTTGCATCATGGTAAATGCGAAAAACTCAAAACTCAAAACTTGTGAGAATTTTGATGGAATCTTGAGAATTTTATTTGAAATTGTCCATTATTAATAACAGAAATATGCACCTTTGGAACATGATGGGAAATTAGTGGTTGTGTATCTCCGTGGATGTCTTTTATGGAGGGTAGAAACATTGCTCAAGACTTGCATGTTGTATGTCCAGTTCTATTGTGAATTTCTATGTGGAGTAAATCAGATATTTTGATGCTTACTCCATTGTCTTTGTTTGTAGGGGGGCATCATGTTAATTTTTAATATTTTTTTGATTAAAAAAACTTGTTCAATGTGAATGATGAAAACAAGGATGGGATGACTGGAGTTGTCAATGTTCTGAAATAATAATGTTATGTTTCAAACTCTGATTGAACACCTGAAGAGCAGTTGAAGCCATATTGGATTGAATGATATATTTATTGCATATAAAGGATGACTTGGATCTCATTTAATGGATGATTAAAGGCACTGTTTCATGTTAAAACTGCTAAAGAACACAGTGACATTATTTTATGAAATACAGATTTATGTGTAAACAGCAACTTCAGAATATTTTTGTCCTTGAGCAGTCAATCACTCTGTCCTTAATTCAGTTTACTGCTTTAGCGTTATTGTATAAGAAAATTATAGGGATACAATATTTTATAGTTAGCAGATAATTTTGAAAATTTTTCCATGTCCTGAAGACAACTTATTTTAACTACAGCATATATTCACTATAATAGTATTGAATCTGATCACGTAGATATTGCCAAAATGGAATTGATTCTTTTATCATTACTAGCAGACACACACACACTTCATGATTGGTTATATTGAGAATGATGTAGAATTTTGAGGGAAGATCATTATCAGAAGCCTGGTGTATTTATGAGATTGTAGCATTGTGAATAAGAATCTTTGGAATGTAGTAGTCATATTTCTGTACATTTAGACCAACATAGTTACTGGGCACAAGACCAGCACATGTGCAGTGATATATAGTACCTAGTAGACAGCATATTTATTCCAGACTGTAGTCATTTAGCACTTGGCACTTGGGGATAAAGATAAAGTGTGTACTGGTTCAGACTGTTGTTGTTATCTTGGATTGACATCAGGGGGGGCAGGGCTAATTTACAGAAAGGTAGGGGCTGCTACCAGCTGCAGTTCATCCAGAGGAGAGACAGACAGTTTACATAACAGGCTCATATACAGGCTGTAGTAAGACAGGATTAGGCTGCATGTTTGTGATAGTTGGACAAGGATAATTAGGCTAATAGACTGTAGTCCATCTTGACTAGCCCTAGTCAGTCAGGTTCTGAGGGCTGAGAGTTTATGTAAAGATAAGGCCTCTGTTACAGGCTGTAGGAGTTCTAGATTAGATTGTTTAGTCAGGAAATATGACTTTTTCACAAACAAAACTCTGACGAGGGTCAGAGGCTTTCTAAAGTCAGGACTAGAGAGCAGAGTTTAGATTAATAAAAACTGTGTAATGAGGGAGGGATGATGAAATCAGGATATGGGAAATCTAAGAAAGGGATAGATGAAAAAAGAACCCTGCATGGTCGACAGCTATTGTTAGGACAAATGAAAAAAAATGTCAGTGTTTTGATGACTGAACATTTAGCTTGTGTCCCATATGCAAAATCATTATAGGTTTTGTGAAAATTCTATAAAATCAGTATCATCACAGTAATACATTATCTTTAGGGACATACCAAGACTTCTGCTTTGGAAGTTAATCATAAAGTTTATTACCTAGCTACAGACTTTTTTTGATACATAATCTTATTATGGAATGATACATATTTCAAAGTTGTAGTTAAAGAACCTTTATTCAACTTTATTCAATCGAAATCAATTCTATTCCAATTAAATTTCTAATATGGATTGAAACAAATTTAAGTAGAAATTATTTAAGAATGTTAGTGCACCTGTTCTGGCAGTGTGGTAATTAAGTTTCTGTATTGTAGGATTTCCCCAAGCAGTTGCCGGCAATCCCAGCGCTGGTATGTTGTCTCCAAGTCTTGGGGTTTATGTTTTCTTCTGGATTAAGTAGGACAGTTCTTTGATATGATTGTACCAACTACAACACTACAAGCAACTGCTCAGTCATCATCCTTTTTCTTAAGTCAGAAGAGTCTTTGACAAAACATAGTGTAGAAAATCAAAGTTTCATACAGCACTATATGTCTGCTTTTAAAACAGATTTACTTATTGGATGAACAATTAAAATAAACTTATGAAATTTTGTTACTTTTAGTCAAATTTTCACTATTTGATTTAAATTGAAAGAAAACGTTTGTGATTTGTCCTAGACTCTTTATGGTCTTGTATTACCTTTTATAGAAACTGCTTTGCTCGGTAAACACAGTTCCATGACTACACACTATGTATTTATTGTCCATTGAAACAGAACACATAATGACAATGAAGCACAATGAGCATCATGTTTGTAACTTTCTTATACTAATTATTGGGATTGATATGTGCACATGGAGTTGTGTGCCCCTTATAAGTGACAATTTTTTTTTTTTTTTTTTTAATTTTGTGCGATCATGACCTGTATAGACAGCCCATTGCAGCTTCCTCGTCCCCATATATGCTATACGTATACACATTTACATGTATTTCCTATTCATTTCGTGAACGATTATTTACTTTTTGAAGAACTGAAACCTTTTTTGTAGTTTAAAAAATTGCAAGTGTTGTTTACTTGATATTATAACTTTGAATGGAAATGTGAGTAGTAATCACAAAATTATGTTAATTTGATTTTTTGTCTAAACTTGTAATGCTGCATTATTGATTGATGGATGGATTGGTCTGTAAGTGTCCTAAAACTATGCAAAATGCATCATTATGATCATGGTTATTTTGACTGTTTTGTGTCCTGATGTGAACTCTGCCTGGATATCATAGATGGTCTCTTGCTTAGTTGTATTATCATCAATCTTGCATTTATATTATTATTACAAGAATTTATTTACGATTTTTTTTATTGAAATTTGATTTTGCATTGATGATGGATTTGCATGAATGCCCCCATATTTGTGTTCTGTGTGTGTTGGATTTAGATGTTTCTCCCTTCATGTTAGCCTCCTGGTTATTACAGCTGCAGCATTACGAGGTGTGGCCTTGACCAGAGGACGGGCGGCAGCTGCCGTTGCTGCACGTGGAACATACGCAAATGTAGCCGCAGCTGCAGCGGCTGCAGCAGCATTTCGTCACCCAACACCTTTAGCGGCCACCGCTACAGCGCTGCCTTACACTGCGTAAGTATGGGGAAGTATACCATATAGAAAGTGTTTGAAGTTAAACATTTTATGAAGCCACATTTCTGCATTCACGTTGACAGAATACATGTTCACTTACAGTGTCTCCCTGGTATGATAAATCACAAGTTCCACCAGGGAAACAATAGAACTGTCTAAAATATTGTTAAAGGAAACCTTACCTTGGTCAGAAAAAACTTCTTAGTTTATAATACTAACAAGGTTCGTGTGTACCGTTGCTGAAAGACGGAATACACATCTGATTTCTTGTTCTGTTCATGGAATACAGTTGAGCTGTGTGATGAGACCTTGACCTTCATAAAGAGTGTTATCCCTTATGAGAGTAAACACCTTCAGAAAGAGTGTTATGTCCCTTGTGAGATCATGCATAAAGATTTGAAGAAATATTCTAAGAGCCATGTGGGTTCATGCTCTAGCACATGTTAATCATCTGCAACTTTTTCTTTAAACATTTCTAAATTAAAACAGCTAACTGAAATTTTACTAAATTTGGTTGTTATTGGAACCCATTGTTTTGGTATTTAAGAGTTAGACTAATTCTTGGGGCAAAGGGATGGGGCAAAATGGAAATTAAAGTATTTTAACTAAAGTTATCATAAACTTTTAGGAAAGAGGACGTAAGTGTTGAATCATAAAGCAAGTGACTCCTTTTATGGCTGAGCCCAATTAGAAAATAAAGGAAAAGGTGTTTAATCCTTTTGCATGATTACCTATATGTCAATGTGGATGATGCAGGCCTCTTTGGCCACTTCTCTTCAGAATTTCTCTCCATGTTTTATGTCTTGCTTGTTGGGAAGTTATAGTATTGCATCCTAAAATGTGGGATATACCATTAATGTTACATTGTTACCATCCTTCTGATCCAAAAATATCATTAGACACAGTATACATGCAACATACTTAAATATTTACGTTTAAAGACTTGTTGTCTTTGTATCAAATGAATTAAACTTCCTAGTCTCCTAGAGATTTTTCTTGGCATCCAGAGTCTGACAGGAATAATGCGTTTAAGTGTTTAAAATTGGCAAAGCTGGCTGCGTTTTAGATTGTAACTGTTACATTTTTACTGTTGGAAAGCAGAGATGGAACATATTCTAGAAATGATTAGAAGATTTAAGTGGATAAGACTTTGTTTATGTTATCTCTGATGTTATTAAGGGAACGTAAATGATAATCTCATTCTCATCAACAGAGTTCTTATGATCCAGGAATAACGAAACAAAGAATTTTTCTGGTTTGCTTTGATATACAAATATCTTAAAACTGGAAAAAAATATAAATTGTCAGATTCTGCCAGATGTTTGTTACCTGTTAATGTAATGTTTGTATCAGCCTTGTTTGCTCTTGACGAATCACTGGACTGGTCACCGGGGTGGACCAGTCAAGAGTCATACACGTTTTTTGACATGTATGACATGTGGGTGTTTTGCATGTTACAGGGGCATGTACCAGGACCCGTTCCTAGCGGCAACGTATGCAGCCGCTGAAAGATACCAGGTAAACATCCTCGCATGCCCTTCTGTGTCTTTTGTCAGTCTAGCTTCCTATCGTTTCACTTTTTTCAGCTGATGAGTTAATGTACAACTTTCTCTCTGATATCATTTTGCTCCAGCACAAATATTGAACAAATTTTTTTTAACAAATTTCAGATAGAATCCTTGAAATATTAACACATTTTTAATGTTTTGAACTTTTTCGCTTGGAGACATTGAAGTGTATGAAGCAGTATTAGATAAGGTCACAGATTTTTGAAAAGGCAATCCTTTTCTTAATGTTTTACTTGAAGCTTGAAAAAAAGCATGAAAAAAGAATTTAGTGGAATTTTCAGGTGAAGAACTAGAATATTTGTCAAGATATCTTAGTATTGATTTAATCATTATATGAAGGAAACTCTTAGGTTGGAGTAAAAAAGAAAAAAGCTGGTCTGAGATCTGATATGTCAAAAACAAAATTACACAGATGGAAGATGCATCATATTTAATAATACATGAAAAGTATATTTGGTGTGACTTGTATCCCTTTCTGTTTCAAGCATGAGGTACTATATCAACTAGTAGTTATACTCCGTGATTATAATAGTGTTAAGTGGATACATTTTATTGAGACTATTCTGTTGTAGTTTAAAGCATACATTTATCTAGTGAAGGCTACATGTATATATACGTGCTCTGCGGTTTTTTGCTCCCCCAGTTGGTGACGACACAACCCTACCCCACAGCGGCTGCAGGCTATGCTACCGCTGCCACTCGCTACGCAATCCCTGCCGCCATGGCTGCCACAGGAGCAACATATGCTGCTGCAGGGTCCATTCCGTAAGTAAACATAAAAGTCGAAATACAATTCTAATTCATTAATGATAAATGAGAAACTTGTCCAAGATTATAGTGTACCTATTTATTTTACAGTAGATTTCATATCCCTATACGACAGTGATCAGTTTCCAATTTATTTTTGTGGGTTCTTTTCAATTTTATCATTAAATAAAATGGGTCATGCAATGTAAAAGTCCTGAAATTGTTTGAGTCCCATCAAAATTGTATGAGTACAGGACCGGGGACTCGCCTGTAGATTAATCACTGTGCGACTGTCTTTAGAGATTTCAATGCTGACAGTAATATTATTGAAATTTCAACATGATGTATTGGTCAGTTTTTTCTGTCTTTCCAAAAACCAGGTATGCTGGGAGAGAATATGCGACAGACCCCTACCTTGGACACAGTATTGGACCAGTTGCTGGTTATGGAGTAAGTCTCGATTTTCTCTGTTAATTTCTTGTTTTTAAGATTTTAGACTTACATTTACGCTTCAGGTAAGGAATTTAGATTTGTTATTTTGATGATTTCTATCTTGTATTTCATCTGTTTTGCAAATGGAAAGTATGACTCAGCAAGTGGATGTAAATTGTAATGATGTGTTGTATGGTTAAGTATGTACAGACTTACATCGCCTGTTATAGCCACAGAGGGGAATTTCTCTCAACCCATTGTGTCTAGCTAGAATTGGATTTTTGACCATAATGCCAGGTTTGGTAGAAGTATGAGAACTAATGTTGGCCTAAGGGCTCCTAATGTGTGGCTACTCACAAACAGTGTCTGAAAAACTGACCCACACAGACATTTTCAGATGTCTTATGGAATGACCCTAGGGTTGTTTAATCTGATTGTCTGCCAGCATGTGACATGCATAGCCCCTAGGAAACCATTGGCATTATTGTAATACAAATATAATTGTACACATATTGGTGTTATTTGATGGTTATGTAAATATCAGACAAGTTGATGAAATTGAATATATGGCCTCTTGATGTGTGTTGGACTGCTTCTTTTTTTAACAGGTACCATCAAATGGCTTGGTTTTTACACATGAATTTGTTCATATTTTAAGATCTGTTTCAAATTCTTTAAAAAAAAAAAATTTTTTTAAATGGAAATTGACCAAAATGAATTGATCGCAGAGGTGTCAATACGGATAGATAAAAAGTAATGGTATTGTGTGATGTTTCAGGCCACAGTGTATCGCGGGGCCTATCAGAGATTCACACCCTACTGATGTATAAGAGGTCAATGTGAGAGATAGGATTGGAAAGGAGTTGGCAAAACAAGCAGCGGTCATGTGATAAACTCTGCAGTGTTGTCATGTTGAACTGTAGAGCCAAGGCGGAGCTGACATCAACAGTATTCGCCCTATTTAACTCTCAGACCAGACTGTGAAGTGCAATGTTCTCATCAGTGCTGAATTGGTGCTTTTTCACTTTATTTTGTAATATTTGATTGTATGTTTTTATTTTTAAAATCAGCACTGATTGGAGATTTTGAAATACTTGCTGCCATTTTTAAGATTCTTCCATTCTGATTGGTTCAGTCCTTGAAATGTGAATCCCCTTGAGATCATTGGAAAATACCTCAATGCTTCCATTGTGCTGAAACAGTTTTGTTGGGTTTGTTTGGGAGGAAATTGAGGGGTTTTACTGCATCCACATGCAACTGTCAGTATTAAATCAAAATTTTTCATTATTGGATGCAACTGTAAGTTTGTTATTGCCGTTATGTAGTTGTGTAGTTGGTCAGACCTAGGTTCGATATAGGTGAGACCTGCTACAGGTTATGTGTGTTGTCGGGACGACAAGGACAGACTAGTAATATCTGTCAACCATTGTTCCAAAGTCATTATTTATTATATACAAACACTCTTATTTATTCATCTGTATATATATTATGAAAACCACTGGAGCATTTCAAGGACTGAACCATGGCTACGCATCATTAATCGTACTATCCACTCGATGATCATGGTGTATGGTTACTGGTGACAGAAGATAGAATGAGTGGTGGGGCCGTTTGGGTCATGCGTTTGGATTATACACTTATTATTGATGATGAATGTACATACTAAATACTCATAATGCAGTAAGCTTTATTTTGAACAAATGCATCTAGTCAAATTCACACTGTTTTACCTCATGCCAACCTAAGTTAAGGGGTGAATCATCCAACATGAGCACTGGTACTGGTCACACACACTAGCGTCTTGTGCTGTTAATTTGGGCCCTGCCAATGAGTCATGTCACTGGTAAAAAGCAGCAGTGACGTTAAAAGATAACGTGAAACCTAATACTGTATTGGATTCAATGTCAATATTTGATAAGTCATATTGATGCTTGTGCAAAATACAACAATGAATTACAATATGTGTCATTGTATTGAGACAATATAAACAAATTTCGTAATCCGATTTGATTGGGTAACTTACCATGATATTACTATATACATATTCATGATCTGATACATATAATGTTTGTTTTGGCTTAAGTTTTAATTTCTAATTAAGATAAAAGTTGATTTTATTATAAAGAGTTATGGTAGGGCCAGTAAACCTGGTAGAATATCATGCCATCAATATTCTCTAGGTTTGCAGTGAACACATCAGCAACTAGGTGCTTACCATCTATATTTTTTTCATCACTTTTATGTGCAATTAAAACACTCAACATTTTACATGCATCATTTCTAGAAGGAAGATGAATGTAAAGATGCTTGTCTTCATGTTCATTTGAGTACGTAACTGAACTTTCTAACCTTTTGCAGCAAAGGTCAACCTTACACACTAGTCAAGGCCTAATCAAATTGAAAACAGTGTCAAAGGTCATGGTCAGTCAAATTTTGAAAGAAAAAAATCTTAAACCTTAAGCTAGTCAAGGTCAAGCTGAATCCTTATAAGCAAAGGTCATAGGTGAAATGATTTTGGTGAGGTATTTTAACAGTGTCTTAATGCTTTTGGTTCTGTTTGAGAAATGATAAGAGATTGTGGTTAGTAACTTTTTTTCTATACAATGTATACATTTTGTTTTCTTTTTTAAATGTTCTTCATCAACTCATTGTTCATTCACAGTTTCTTCCAGTATGCTTGTACAGAAAGCATGAGAGCATGGTGCTAGGAAGAAGGTCATGTTCGCATGGTTTGTACCATGAGTGGGCGAGAGTGTGAAAGTTAATGGAGATGAAAAATTGTGAGGGTGATACTGATAAATATAATTGGAATACTAGTCGACTCTTAAATAGTTATATAATATTACAATGTTACTTTTCATAATTTAAGAAGAAAGTTTCATACATGTTATTATTGAAAGATGTTCGTTTCTGGAACATTCTTGCCAAAAGAAAATTTCTTGCCCTTGGTGTATTTTATCGATTTATTTGGCTGATTTTGTTATCAGTTCTATTGTTAATATTACAGAAATGCTTAAATTGCTACGCAATATCTTTTCAAAGTTGAATCTGCCCGAGGTTTTGTGGTTTTTTTTTTAATACAAGTTTTCGCTCTCTCTTTCATTAAAAGTTTTGTCTTTTTTTTTTTTATCTATTCCATCAATAAAATGATTTTTTTATATGTTTGAAAAAATTACGTAATATTGCAAAGAATTTTTTTTTTCTCTTTGATAAATCTGATACAGGTATTTGTGACCTTGTTATATAAAAAACTGTCAGCATTATTGTGTGAAAGATTGTTAACATTTGGATGACTCCTCACTTTCCCTCTCTTATTTTACTGTAAAGCAATCTCATTTTGTTTCTAAGGGCAGAGCAGGTTTTATTATATATTATGAATATTGTATTTCTTCCAACTTTTGTTGTCAAATTTTTATACATGTTGATATGTAAAAAAAAAAAAAAAAAAACTGATTGCACACAACATAAACTGCAAATTTGAAAAAAAGAAAAGATGAATGTCCCATCTTTTTTTTTTAAATGATGATAATCAAAAGTTTTCAGCAGATGTCAAAAATACAACAAGATTTTGTTAAAAGATGTGGATTGTTGAGTCGTGATTATCTCAAGGTGCAATAAAAACAAATATAACACAGCAGAAGAGTGAAATCTTTTGCTAAAGCTGCAATGGTAACACTAGTAATAGTGTTAGCACTTTGTTATATTGAGATTGATAGTGCATCTTGGGGGGAAAATGTTTGACATTGTGTACCACAGGGCAACATGCACAGGTACTGGCTGTTGGTATAGAATGACGATAATATTTAAATGTACATTTATTGTTTGTGTATTGAATTTCTCATCTTTTTCTCCTTTTTTTAATATTCTGTTTTCATATTAATCATCTAATGTTTGTGTAGAATGTTAGCCTGAATGTACATTTGTGCGTTTGTGTATATATATATATATATACTAGAAGTATGTCGACAAAGACGATGACAGTTTTTGTCTAGCTGTTGTTCGTCAAGTTGGCAGATTCCCGAGTGCTTCCTCGGAGAGAGAATTGGGCATGTCAGGGGCATGATGGGATGTGTCATACACGCATGATTTGAATGAACTACTTATATGAAGGTGAGAACCATTAATACAGCATGAGTGTCTCCGACAAGTTGAATGTGCTTCTTCCCCTGATCTCTGATTTGGTCATTAAGCAACATTTCTGGCATGCCTTTTACGATAACATCTCTATTGCTTGTATACTGTACTTAGTTGACTCGTAGTTTGGTCCCAACAGGGGCCGAGTAGCACTTGCGGGCACAGGTTAGCTGGGTCCCTCCCCAGCCCCTTTCAGACCATACATAGACAGCAATGTTTGCCAATTAGATAGGGGAAGTTTTTTGTTTTTAATGACTTATCTTTAACATAGTAAACAGAGAGAGAAAAAAGCTAAGCATTTCTTGCCAAGAAAGGCTCTTTTTTTTTTTTTTTACTTGAAAAGAATTCCAAAATTTTCAGTCAATAGCACCTTATTAACTTTACTTTGCAAGATCTGAGAAACATTTCAAAATGCTATTTTTGACATTGATCTTTGGAAGAATTGAAGATTGATCTGTTTGTGTAAAATTGCCAGAAAAGGATCTGTTTTAGTTAAATTGTAGGTAGTATTTTCGTTCAATATGAAAAAATGTGTATTGGATCTGTATTGCTGTGTTTACCTTGGTGTTAAAGCCAATAACAATTGGTGATATTATACACATTTGAAATCTCTGCAGATTTTACATGTACTTCATGCCTTTTTGTCAACATTTGTTTTATTCTTGTCATAATTACCTTATAACTCGGCTTATATATAATATTTACTCTGACCCTCAACTCCTGCCCTGAACTTTGTTTTGTACAGATGTATAACTCAAAAAATATTTATTGATCGTATTCTAGCACCTTGATATTTAGACTTTAGAATTGTATACTTAAATGAATATGTATATCTTGGCAATAGTTTTTGCTAGGTTTAGATTTATTTCACCACCTCCATCCCTCTCCTGATAGATGTACTAGACAGATCTGGGAAGAATAGCATTGTTTTGTATGTTATTTATTATCACTAAATTAAATCAATCCTGCATGAAGGAGGATACACCACCCCCACCCCAGTAGTATATATGCTGGGCCCGAAGCTAATGTTCCCTCTGTTATATAACCAATGATATTATCAACACTTGCTTACAATTTTCTCATATTCCACACAGTGTTGTTGTATTGGTATTAATGGTTTAGATCAAGAAAATTACAAAAAAATATATAAAATATTGCTTCTTTTGTGCACATCATTTTGTGTCTTGTATGTAAATAACCTGACTGCACTTTGGAACAGTTTATGTGTCTGATTACTGTGTGCAACTCATAGATACAATAAACTGTTGTTCAGTGTACCATATAGTTGTATTACTCTCACTGCAGCCCATAATGCTAAAGCATGGTTTTTCTTGCATTTTTGTATTATTCCAGAATGTAGAATATGTCATGTACTATTTATAGCAACCGTTATTAAACCAGGGTCATATTGCAGCATCGTGGAAACATTGTGCATATGACCTCTCTGACCCCTGAGAATGCTGTTCATGAAATATGCATGCAAACATTGGCCTTTGATAATCCTGCAAATGATTGTTTTCTCACTCTGAAAACCAGAAAGTGAAATAGTAGGCAACACAAATACATAGTTCAACCAGCAACTAGTCTATCCTCTTGGGTGCATCTTTAAGCTTTTGATAAATCAATTTTTATTTGTGTTCTGCATGATTCTGATTATCTGGATTATGTATGTGCTACTGCTGCTACTCTCTGAGAAGGTAAAAATACACGAAAGCGCACCATCAAAGCTGAATTGCTCCCAAGAGTAGATCGATCAGACTACAATTATGTGTTTTCCTTATTCCTGTCTAGTCACCAATGAACTATTTACAATCAGATGTATTGAATACCATACCAAATCTTGTTTGAAACAGGTTTTCTGTTTTAACATAATAGGACTAAAACTGGATTAAACTGCTGGAAAAAATAGAAAAAGTTTTAATCGAAGGCAAAGTTTTATTAGTATTGAATTTTCATGCAGTGCTTTTTTTTTTGATTCAGCTACTTGAAAAAAAAAATTATGAGATATATCATGGTGCCTTCAGATGACAAAAAAACATGAAAATAAGACATTTCTGTAGAAAATTAGTCAGAAGAAAGTTATGTTTGAAAGAATTAAATAGGACAGTGCTGGTTGGACAGAATTTGTGTTGAGAATGACCTTTGACCCTCACTTACTTGAATCTTGGGCCGGGTGTGGCAATATTGCATGCCTACATGCTATATTTGAATTGCATTTGGTGATGGCTTTGTAATAATAATGGCTAACAATGAAATATAATGTCAGTCAACTAGGAGAAGTGACACACACAATGGCAGACTCATTCTCCAAGTATTAGTATTAATGGCCTAGCATACAAACAACCATACAAAATTGAATTTGAGGCATTGTCTCTCCAAGCTTAAGATTGCCTGAAAGGACTTTTCCCTGCGGTGAACCGTTATCGTGACTTCAAGCTGAGAAAGACATTACTTTTTGCAGCAGTACACCATGAAAGATTGTCCTATCAAGCTGAGTCTATTCAGTAACCGATAGTTTAGCCTCGACTCAGCCATCATGGGCTTTACATAAGGCATAAAATTTTATACTAGTTGATACTTTTCTATACCATAACTCTAAAAGGTTTTCTTTCACCAACATGAATTGAATTATAGATTTTCTACTTTTTACTATTTTATTGGTTATTATGCAAGGAATATTTGTAAAAAAAAAAAAAAAAAAAGAAAAAATTAGGTGAGATTTGATTTGGAATCAAAGTTGATGTTTTACTTGAAAATAACTTTTATGATTCACGCTTTAATGCTGAAAAGTTTTAGTCAAAGTCTTACAATGCATTACCTTAAACAAATACTAAAAAAGCGAGCTAGAAGAACGCCCATACACAAAATTTTTAATTTTCAATAACAGATGAAATAGCAATATGTAAGGGTAGGGAAAAATGATATCATGATAATGGAACTTAACCACTCCATATTAAATTGAAATGATTATCTTGACAATCTCAAGTGTTAATTCTGCAATACATTTGTGTTGATAAACTTGCATTTGCTTGATATGGAAATAGATGTCCTATCAACATTTATATACTTACAAATTCATATCAATTACTTGAGATTGCCAAAAGGTAAATTCATTTCAATTTGATATGACTTCAGTATCACACATACATGACCCAGAGATGGACCACAAACTCTACAGTTACCACATTGGAATGTTCAAATAAGATTTGGAATTTTAGAGTAGAATCTTTTGCATGACATTAGGGTGTGCTAATTAACTGACTTGTGTTGTTCCAAGTGGTAACAAAGCCCTGTATATTGTAACTCTATAATTCAATTTCTGGCTTGGACTAAGGGGGCCAGTCACAACGATCATCACATCAGTCAACATCAGTAGAGCCATGGACCTGATATGTGGAGATATCCGAAGAATGGATTTACAATGAAGTGTATACATACTGGATACATTTATTCACTACATATCCCATACTTGTCTTGTGTCCCCAATATATCGTCGATCTTGGTTAACAAGAAGCACAGGCAATTGTTGTGTATGAGAATAGGCGGATATGCTGCAGTAGACATTAATTAATAATCAATAACTGCTCTGGATTAAGTATTTTGATATTTATTCCATGCCATATGCCAATGATAAGATTTTCCATAGCCGACTTAAAAGAAAAAAATAATAATAAGAAGAATTATGTTGACTTGATGAAATTTTTTGTCCTTGGCAAAATGTTTTGGATTTAGGTTGACATTACCAGAATCTGACTCATTGATCATGTTTATATGATGTACATTGCTGCTGAAATGTTTCAACTGAGCACTCTTACTTTACGTGCTGCTGAAATGTTTTGTAAGTATAGTTTTTGCAATGCGTATCCACTATCAACAAGAAAACTGCTGTAGCATATCCATTATTAGTTCACAGCAATTGTTTGTCATATGTATGTTTTCTACAACACAAATGCTGTCAGATTTGCAATCATGAATCATTTTCACATAAAAACCTCTCCAACCTGACACTACCACCAATATATGATTTGTGAGATGGATCAACATAAGCTAAATCTGTCCAATAATACAGAAGCGAGTGATAAAAAGGACTACAACACACAACAGCTAAATGTTAGTTACAAAATCACATGGTCATTCAGTGAACATAGGGAAAACGGGAGAAACTTAGGCCAACCAGGGGTCAGTAGACCCCACCTAATATATTGTACTGTAGGTTATTTATGTGACATGAACATTTTATGAAATGGCAAGGTGTCGGTTATTAATGACTAAGAAAATCTTGTTAGGGTTTGTTGTTGACTCATCTGTCCATATGTCAACTGAACTTGTACTATACCATGGTGCGGCATCTTTCATGTGTCTCGACTTTCCTTTAACAACTTCTTCTAAAGGACCAAAAGGCATATAGTCATGATATTTTGCTTGTAACTTCTTGGGATGAAGCC